TTTTATATATAAAATATGTAATAAAAGTATAACATACATGGGTATATCATACATCACACAAAAACAAGATAAACAATGAAAATTTACAATGTAGTTAAACGGGCTACGCCATCGGCATACTCGAATACAGTCTTTATACCGTTCTGAAGATCTGTTTTCAGAGTTTGGAGTCGGGTTTCTAGTTGCCTGTACTTTCTTCTCTTAGGCCGTAATTTTCCGTTGGCACCTAACTGGAGAATGGTTACTTCGGAGTAAGCTTGTTCATTCTTAAAAAAAGCCATCAACTTGAAAATATTTGGGTGAGGGGTGGCAATAATGGATGTTATCTTGGAATGCCATCCTTCAACATGGTTCGTTGTGCGTGAACCTTCAGTGTGGAAATGGTTCCACATCATTCTGTCATGCTGCCCCTCCACCCAGAACTCAGTTACGTAATCTGCAAATTGCAACACTCTGGCATCTTGGAGTGGTGCATCATCAAGGGCATGCAGCCATACATCTTCAACCTGCTGTATTGGAATTAATGGTAATGCTGCTGCTTGCTTGACGATTTTATTGATTTCTGGCACCCGAGAAAAATCTGCTTGTAGTCCATATTTCTGCGCATTGCGCCAAATACACTGACCAAAGTGAAAAAAACAACCTTTTAGTTCTGACCTCGGCAACACAGTTCTCACAGCATTTTGCATACTAACTTCGAAATCTGTAAACACATGGCCTGGGTTAAGATTAACATTGACAAGTGCCAATGTTTTGTCTCTAACACATCTGAGGAACTCAACATATGTTGCCTCCTTCTTATCGGGTAATAGTGCATACACCAAAGGGAACATTTTATTGTGTACAAAAGCATGTATAGTGTAGATCTGGGTGAATAAGGTAGGACTCATGCTAAATGTTTCATCACAGTATATAGTGTCTGCATTGGCGAGATGGTAAAGATTTTCTTGTGTGGAAAACGCTAGAAACCTGCTGTCGGCTGCTGCGTGGAGAAGGAAGTCGACTCCGGATGTGGTCTTGGTTATAAGAATCTGGAAGCTGGATATCGTTGCGGGTCTGAGGAAGTGCTGGGAGGATCTTTGCTCGGGCTCTATACAGGGAAGCACAGCAACTATAGAATGTTGGAATCTCTCTGATCATCTCACCTGAGTCACGGTCAGATCGAAGGGCTGTAAACAAACAAAAAGAAAATATTTATTATACATATTATTATATCATTAATACTCGACCAGACACTCGATTGGTTTGTTACGGAAGAACATGTTCAGTATGCTTTAACGTTGAATCATTTAAATCAACGGCACACAACATTAGAGATAAATACATACCTGATACTTCTTCTTGATAGATGGCACAGACTGGTTTGGTTTCCTCTTGCACCTTGGTTTTCATGGCAACGAGAAATTTGTCGACTGCCACCTTGTGTGGGTTAGCAACATGGTTGTGGTTTCTGGAATATATGGTAATAAAGCCTTGGTGGGTGTTCAGGGTTGCTGGACAACCTTTTATACAACATCTCCAGTATACTCGTTCTGCCTTCCTATTCTTCACTCGGAATTTGTATTCTTCATGGACTAAGTTTTCTCCACCTTGAGCATTGGGGATGTACTGGATGTTTACTTGAACGTTTGCCATGATGAAATATGACAGACTGACTTCTGTGTGTCCTTATAAAGACCGTGTAATGTGTAGGCTTACTGAACATAATTCATATTATATTCAAGTGTCATTTTTTGAATAAAATTCATCACTTTAACGATTACAGTGAGTTCATCTCACCAATTATAAGACTGAATATTTAGTCACTTTCAATATTTGTTTTTTTCCATCTAATTACCTATAACACCTAATCCTAATCCGCTTAATACACTAATCCTAATTAGACCTTAATTGGATTAATCAAAAGTGGGCACAGTGAGATGTAACCTTTCTCACGAGTTTCCATGAATAGTAACCACAATTAATCATTTCTACTTGCTTAATGGATATTATAACGCAGAAGCCCGTTATTAAAAGCTCTGACACCAGTTCTACACACTATGCATCTTGTAGTGTGTGGCGGCTTCTTTGATGATTATCCAATCAACAATTTTAATCTCCTGACCACTAGCTGGCACTAAGGTGCTAATTAATTGATGAGATTAACTGAGTTAATCTCACTAAAGTTATATTATACAACAGACTACTAATGTATAGATTGTTCTTCAGTATAACACTATCATGTAAATATTATGCCGTATGTGTTGTGGATGTTTCGTTACGAAAGGAGTGCATTTATTACGATTTTCGTGGTCAGCACCAAAGAAATCCTAAATAAAAAACATACTAAACGACAAAATATATAAAATGAATTGCGGAAATAGTCGGAGAAAATTTTTACTACTATTTTCGTCTCCAGCACCCCTGAAAACCCATGGAAAGATATATTCACGACAAAACAGCAGATAAATGGCCTGGTTGCTATGTGATTTTGTTTTGGAACATACCAAATCTTTGACTTGCTTTTTCTTAAAACTTACTTTTGTGAGTTGGGTAGCTTCTAATGGAAACAGCTCAGACAATTTTTGTCCAATTCAAAAAAACTATACATCAAATTGAAGGTAATGAGTTGGAGAATGTGAAAATAACAATAATTCAATTTTCAAAATTTCCTCATTGTGACTCAGTATGCTTTGGGGGGTCACAAATGGTCATCCCAAAATGGCGAACCCTCTGGTTAACTTTAGATACATTGCTAATACTAAAGGTGGTCAGAATTTAGTGCTAGACTCAGAGTTAAGTCTAGACTTAATATTATCATATACTGGCAATGTTGTAAAAAGACCACAGCTAGGGTTACCATTCGCGATGGTATTCTAGCATCGCCTCTTCAGAGGAGAACAAGATAGCAGTCCAAGAGGTTGTGGAGACGATGAAGGCCAGAGTCAGAGCTGACTGCAGAGCTGTGCCTTTTTTTTTTTACAAAGAAGAGCTTCGAAGTAAAATTATAACCTTTTGTTTGAAACAATATTTATTATGAAGATTTATACATTTATCATTTACAATTACAGAATTATGGGATCTGAAAACAAGCAAAAGCTTATGTAAAAGGTTAGTGAACTGTACTTTCATTATTTAATTATCCTTTCATTGAGAATCTAGTAACACAATCAGTTTCTTTTAATATTATTATATAATATTATATTAGATTTTAATATATTCCCTTTTCATTGTTTAGCTGTTCAAGTTATCAAACAAAATTCATTGAAAATCAATATACTTGTTCGTCTCAAGACCTTAAACTATGTTTATCAATCCAAAGTCAATCGAATGATAACTTTGGTCTCTAGAGCATCCACAAGATTTTTCAAAGTGATCAAGGGCCATAACTCTAGTAGTAATTATCGGAAAATCATTGGGCTTCTTCGTCTCCCGACCTTAAACATCGTGTATAAATTTAAAGTCAATCGGATATTAACTTTAGCCTTTAGAGCGTCCACGAGATTTTTCAAAGTGATCAAGGGCCATAACTCTGGCAGTAATTATCGGAAATCGTTGAAAATCAATAGGCTTCTTCGTCTCATGACCTTAAATAATGGGTCTAAAGTCAATCGGATATTAACTTTAGCCTCTAGAGCGTCCACTATTATTTCAAAGTGATCAAGGGCCATAAATCTGGCAGTAATTATCGGATATCGCTCAAAATCGATAGGCTTCTTCGTCTCGTGACCTTAAATGAAATGAAATGGAGTTTAACGTCCTACTGTTCTGCTCCTAACCTGGGCTAATGAAGACGGGCATACGCCATACAGTGTGCTATGAAAGAAATTTTGCCCGGGCAGCGGCGCTACGGCCTACTCTTACATCGAATTCCAACTGCCAAGGGATATTTTACGTGCACGCCAATGTGTACACGGGGCCTCGGGTTTCGTCCCACCCGAACGGATGAACTTTCTCGGCCAATGCTGGGATCGAACACCCGACCTCCAGGCTAGCGAGCCAGCGTCTTACCCACTTAGTATAAATTTAAAGTCAATGGGATAGTAACTTTGGCCTCTAGAGCGTCCACAAGCGATTGTGGACGCCGGACCGACGACAATATACAACCACATTTCAATGTGAGCGTATAAAAAGCGTGCGTAGCACCGCACCTGGGAATTGAACTTGAGCATGTACCATATTGATAGGTAACATCCTTTTATTGAAATTTAACATGGCCACTATCAGCCACCATAGCAATCACATTACTCACAAAATACTGACAAGCATGGGAACGCCCGCCTGTGGGCTACTTCCGGATATAAAATGATACAAATTGTTCGACCACATTTACCTACACCTCACTTGCAACTATTTCTATAATCATTGCGAATCGTTGTATTTAATATCTTTATCAATAGTCATGGCTACTCGTAGAAAGATTAAATACTCTAGTAGTAGGACCTTTTTTAGGCCCTGCGGTGTGTGCAGGCGAGATTGTGAAAGAACTAAAAGTATCTTGTGCGATTGTTGTGGTGTATGGTTCCATTGTGGTTCCATTTAACTTTTTTCGACAACATTCCACTATTCCCTTCAGCTGCCTGTCCTGTTATTTTGATGGAATATTAGTGATACATATTGTTATTCATCTGGTATAAAGAGATTGTTGTTGTTCGTAGTGTTTAACCTCCGCTTCCACTCAAGGTGACATCGAAGACAAATCGTCTTATTTTCATTTTTATTATCTTAGCTAATCTATAATATGATTTAATATATTTACAGCGAATATCTTTATATTTTTTTAGGTATCAATACAAAATGGTACTCATCTTCACCTCATCATTATCACAAAATTTACAAAATCTGTTACTTCTATAAATAAGTTATGGGCAGATAAACGGATTTTTCAAATACATACATCTCAGATGGTAATTTGTTGATGTGACTGAAATAATATCCAATATCCCGTCTGCTGTTCTCTGACTTAGTTTAGACAACATTTATGCAATAAGTTCTAGTAAAACAATGGAAAGAAAAAAAGAGACTAGTAATGGTCTTGATTTATTCATCATCCCAAATAATGAATAACTATAAATAAATACTGAACTTTTCAAAAATAAAAATGACAATAAATATATAAAGAAACTTGCCATATAAATCAAAGATTTGAAAAAAAAACCCAAACATAGAGTACATTTTTACTTAACAGAACAGGTTGAAGTTAAGAAAATGCTCAGTAATAATCCTTCTTGAATCCAGTGATGAAAAGTCCCAGTTTGTACATTGAAAAGTAACAGGATGGTATGTAAGGGGGAATATTTTAAAGTGTTATGAAGTTGAAATTATGAACACTTTCAATTGTGAAGATCATTTTCTAGTTAAACTATTTACATATCAAATTGCACGTAAGAAGTAACTGTTTTCTATAGATATACTATAAATTAAACATGTTACTTACAGATATTCTGTTGTAATACAGTATAAAAAATACATTTTTAATTGTGTATTTTATCATATTGAGGACGGCATAAGATTTCACATTATAATATCTGACAATGACATTTACTGTTGATGATTTCAGGACTAGATGACAAACCAACCTCTGTACTGGGAGTGGATATAGAACTACAAGATAACATAGATTTACGGCTATTGTAAAATCGATTCTGACAATCTTCTATATAGTCGTCATATTTACGATCAAGTTCCTGCGAGGCCTGGATTTGTTCGATCCTTGCTGGTACTTCTAAAGCCCGAGCACAATCTGCAGAACATGCCCAGTGTTGGAATGGTACACAGGTATTACCCAAATATGGATTTTTGAAAGTGATGATTTTATATCCTGTAAATATACAACATAAGTAAAACAATATAAGGGTCATTCCATGTCAAGTGGACCAAATTTCGGAAAGTTGGGAACATGGCCTCCTCCAAAAAAATTATACCAGTGGCTGCCAGGCAGGATACGCCCACATTTTCGAGAGATGGATAGAGAACAAGCTAAAAAGAAAGTGATTTTTCCTACAATCAAGGGCCATAATTCAGGAAATTACAATTCGATATGCGTGAATATCGAAAGGAACCAAGATCTTTGGGTTATAAACTTACATTTCAAGTTTCAACAAAATCGGATTAAAATTGTGACCTCCATAGGTTCCACAACCTTGATATACCATATTTTTACGCTATTTGAGAACGAAGGGCGCTCATTTTGTCTGTCAGTTTTGGGCCGATCTTCACGAAATTCGAACTCAGCTGTCCTGAGGGTGTAACGGTGATATAATAATACGTTTTTTTTAAATCGGATAAAAATTATGACCTCTATAGGGTCCACAAGCTAAAAACGTGATTTTTCGTTCAATCAGGGGCCATAATTCAGGAAGTTACGGTCTGATATGCGCGAATATCGAAAGGAACCGAGATCTTTGGGTTACAAACTTACATTTCAAGTTTCAAAAAAATCGGATAAAAATTGTGACCACTATAGGGTCCACAACCTTGATATACCATATTTTTACGCTATTTGAGAACGAACGGCGGCCGTTTTGTCTGTCAATTTTGGGCCGATTTTCACGAAATTCAAACTCAGCTGTCCTTAGGGTGTAGCGGTGATATAATAATACGTTTTGTTTTAAATCGGACAAAAATTATGACCTCTATAGGGTCCATAAGCTAAAAACGCGATTTTTCGTACAATCAGGGGCCATAATTCACGAAGTTACGGTCCGATATGCGCGAATATTGAAAGGAACCGAGATCTTTGGGTTATGAACTTACATTTCAAGTTTCAACAGAATCGGATAAAAATTGTGACCTCTATAGGGTCCACAAGCTAAAAACGTGATTTTTCGTACAAACAAGGGCCATAATCCATGAAGTTTCAATCCGATACATGCCAATATCGAAAGCAGCCGCCAAGATCTTTTTGAGATAAACCTATATTTCAAGTTTCGTCAAAATCGGATAAGAATTGTGACCTGTAGAGTGTCCACAAACAATTGTGGACGGACGGACGGATGTCCGGACGAACAGAAGCGACGACAATATACGTCCACATGAAAATGTGGGTGTATAAAATAATATATGTTACACTACATGGACTTAAGCTAGGGTACTGAAACAGATAATAAATTCGGTAATTTTTTTCAGGTTTTCGGATGTTTTAAACTCACATTTCTAATAGGAGAAGAACTCTCTAATTTTGTAATCTAAGACAACGTTTGGTGTAGATTATGAATTTAGCATCACACGCAATGTGCGATTCACACAGTTCGTGGCACCAGATGGCAAAATGTGAAACAAATGAACTATTCACTCTTTTTTTTTTTTTCAGGATTTTAACACTGGCAAAGTCACTATTGCATACAAAACCCCCAACATTGGCATAGTTAATGTCAGTGTGTCTTTTATCAATTTACAAAAAATTCTCAGTCGATGGGATATATACTTTTCCAAATGGCCAAAATTTAAGGTGAAAATGGGTATATTTTGTACGTTCTCGGTGTGCAATGAATTTCGAGACTGAATATTTGGAAAAGTATATATCCCATCGACTTAGAATCTTTTGTAATTGATATAAGACAAACAGACATTAACTATGCCAATTTTGGAGTTTGTGTAAATAGTGACTTTGCCAGAGGCTGTGGAAATCCTGAAAATAAAAGTGAATGGTTCATTTTGGAGGCAAAATAAAATTAGAACAATATAATGTACATTCAAATTGATTACATATTTGTAATTTACGCAAAAAAGTCACTCTAAATAGACATGTTTCAGGAGTATAGGTCATTTAGAAGTTATTTTAACATCAACGTGAAAAGTCAAGAATTTGGATAAAACTTGATCACCGCACAGATTTCAATTGCCAATTAAAAATATAAGTCATCAAATACACAAGATGGACTTTAATTAACGTATTTTATAGTAGGGTAATTGAAGTTTTATTATCAAACTTTTTCAGAATTTGACCTCTGCCCCACATGGCCAAAATTTAAGGTGAAAATGGGTATATTTTGTACGTTTTAAGTGTGCATTGAATTTCGAGACTGAATATTTGGAAAAGTATATATTCCATCGAATTAGAATCTTTTGTAAATTGATATAAGACAAACTGACATTAACTATGCCAACTTTGCAGTTTATGTATACAATAGTGACTTTGCCAGAGACTGTGGAAATCCTGAAAATAAAAGTGAATAGTTCATTTGTTCCACATTTTGCCACCTAGTGGCGCGAACAGTATGCACTGGACAATGGGTGAGACTCTAAATTCATAATCTTCACAAAAAGTTTTCTTAGATTACAAAGTTAGAGAGTCCTACTCCTATTAGAAATATGAGTTTAAAGTATCCGAAAACCTGAAAAAAATTACTGAATTTATTATCCGTTTTAGTACCCTAATTTCAAATGGACATATCTTAGCAAGTTTCTAACCTAGACAGGTAAAATTTTGGATTTCTCAGTTTAAGGCCATATACTAAAACATATATTTCTTATAATTTTTTTGGAAGGGGTCATGTTCCCACCATTGGTCCAGTTGACATGGAATGACCCATAAATTTTATTTACAATGTATGGCTTGAAAAAACACATAATGTTGCCATGATATTATCTTCCATAATTCCATAACATTTTAATATGATCATGTTCTGGACAATAGAAACTACTTTTTTTTTTCAAATTTGCAAAATTAAAAGGAATTTTATATATATATATATATATAAAACTTGTAAATACCCACCTGGTTTATTGGCTAAAGTTGCTGTATAACAATTGTGACAGATATTAAATAAGGAATATATATCTGCTATATAATCTCTTAAAACAATAGCAACAGAAGGATCACTAAAGAAGTCTTTTTTGGAAGCAATCACTGCTTTTGCTGCCCAAAACTGTAGACTCTCATGTTTCTGCAAGACACCATTATCATTTGTTTCAAATATTGGTATAATACGGTAGTTTACATCTGTATGATACCACATAAAAGTGGCTTTAAAATAGTTATGATTTCCATGTCGATGAATAGTTTCTATGGAGGATATTTGTAGAAGATATCCAGGCAAAGCATCCAGTAGATTATTGTCTAGTAGTAATGTTTTGAGGTTTTTACAGAATCTTAAAGTATATGGAATGGATTGCACTTGTAATTTATTGTTTGTTAAGGCAAGATATTGAAGTTTTGTTAAACGTCCTATATCTGGGGGTAAACTGTCTAAACTGTTATACTTCAAGGACAAATAGCGCACATTCTTACACTGAAATATCTGTAAAAAAACAAACAATGAAATAAAATTGTATCAGTATAAAAAATTTTTAAAAATAAAAGTTGTATTGATTAAAGGCAATAAAATATTCAGTTCTATTCAAAATATCTTCAGATCATATAAACCAGCGGCTGCCAGGCTGGATACGCCCACATTTTGCAAGAGATGGATAGAGAACAAGCTAAAAACAAACAGGATTTTTTGTACAATCAAGGGCCATAATCCAGAAAGTTATGGTCTGAAATGCGCCATAATTCAGGAAGTTACTATCCGATATGCGTGAATATCGACAGGAACCAAGATCTTTGGGTTATAAACTTACATTTCAAGTTTCAACAAAATCGGATAAAAATTGTGACCTCTATAGGGTCCACAACCTTGATATACCATAGTTTTACGCTATTTGAGAACGAAGGGCGGCCATTTTGTCTGAGTTTTGGGCCGATTTTAACGAAATTCGAACTCATCCATCCTTAGGGTGTAACAGTGATATATTAAAACGTTTTTTTAAATCGGAAAAAATAATGACCTCTATAGGGTCCACAAACGCGAGTTTTCGTACAATCAGGGGCCATAATTCAGGAAGTTACGGTCCGATATGCGCGACTATCTAAAGGAATTGAGATCTTTGGGTTATAAACTTCCATTTTTAGTTTCAACAAAATCAGATAACAATTGTGATCTCTATAGGGTCCACAACCTTGATATACCATAGTTTTACGCTATTTGAGGACGAGAGGTGGCCATCTTGTCTGTCAGTTTTGGGTGGATTTTCACGAAATTCTAACTCAGCCATCCTTAGGGTGTAACGGTGATATATTAAAATGTTATTTTTTAAATCGGATAAAAATTATGACCTCTATAGGGTCCACAAACTAAAAGCGCGATTTTTCGTACAATCAGGGGCCATAATTCAGGAAGTTACGGTCTGATATGCACAAATATCGAAAGGAACCAAGATCTTTAGGTTATAAACATGCATTTCAAGTTTCATCAAAATCAATTAAAATTGTGACATCTACTGGGTCCACAAGATTGATATACCATATTTTTACGCTATTTGAGAACGAACGGCAGCCATTTTGTCTGTCAATTTTGGGCTGATTTTCATGAAATTCGAACTCAGCCGTCCTTAGTGTGTAACGGTGATATTCGCGTACAAGCGGAGGCCACTTTGTCCGGCAATTTTGGTCCGATTTTCATGAAATTTCGAACTCAACTTTCTATACGGTGTAACGGTGATATAATCAAACGTTTTTTTTTTAAATCGGATAATAATTGTCAACTCCAGAGGGACCATTTTTCGGACAATCAGGAGCCATAATTCAGGAAGTTACGATCTGATATGCGCAAATCTCGAATGCACCAGGATCTTTGGGTTATAAACATGCATGTCAAGTTTCAACAAGCTAAAAACGTGATTTTTCGTACAATCAGGGGCCATAATCCATGAAGTTTCGATCCGATACATGCCAATATCAAAAGCATCCAAGATCTTTTGGGGATAAACCTATATTTCAAGTTTCGTCAAAATCGGATAAGAATTGTGACCTGTAGATAGTCCACAAACAATTGTGGACGTCCGGACGGACAGGGGGGACGACAATATACGTCCACATGAAAATGTGGGCGTATAAAAACAAGCCAACAGTGAGGCTGATGTCCCCTGCCCAAATCCCAAAATAAATAGATGACACATATTAATTAATTGCACATTTATTTTTTTCAAAAGTATCAAGCAATCAAACTGATTATCAACTATACACTAAGTTTCATCACTCTCTATCAGATAGAATCAAATCTATCTTGTCCCAAATCATCGACCAATGAAATTTCTTGGCTCTACTTAGCTTTAGCTCGAAATGTTAATCATTGAACTCAGTCAAGACATTCACCTAATGAACATCTACTTCAAGATTAAACATTCTATCTTAATTATAAGCAGAGTTGTTATGTTCCAAAGTCTTGAACAATCATATTGCTTATCGCTCCTTAGCCTAAGCAGAAAATTCTCATCATTGAACTTAGTCAAGGTAATGATATAATGAATCTATACTCAGAGTTTCATCACTCTCACTTAAGTAAAACCAAAGTTATCGTGCCCCAAAGCATCAACCAATCAGATTGCTTATCTCTGCTTACGGTAAGCAGACAATGTTTATCATTGAACTCCATCAAGGCATTCACCTAATGAACGCCTACACCAAGTTTGAATTCTACCTACCTCAATTAGAAGGAGAGTTATTATGTTCCAAAGTCTCAGTCAATCAAATAGCTTATCGCTCTGCTTACCCTGAGCAGAAAATGCCCACTATCGAACTTAATTAAGGTATTGATGTGATAATTAGTACTAATGTTATCTGTCCCAAAGCAGCAACCAATCATAGTGCTTATCTCTGTTTACACTGGGCAGAAAATTCTCATCTTCGAACTCCATCAAGGCATTCGTTTTTCGTTTTTCGACATTCGCCAATATTCAAACTTGAATCTCAAAAAAGCAGATTTGATGGATGTATATCTACAGAATGTCTCCAAAACACATTTGATTAAATATGTTTTATGTCATAAATGAGGATGGCAGTGTGAAGTTAGCTCGATTTTTGTTCTTCGTTTTTCGATATTGGTGAATAACGAAAAAACGAGCTACTCGTTTTTCGATATTGGCAAATAACGAAAAACAACTAGCTCGTTTTTCGATATTGGCGAATGTCGAAAAACGAAGCACTCGTTTTTGGATATTCAAACTTGAATCTCAAAAAAGCAGATTTAATGGCTGTATATCTACAGAATGTCTCCAAAACACATTTGATTAAATATGTTTTCTAAAACGAACTAAAGATGTCATAAATGAGGATGTCTGAGCAGTGGATTCACATAAAAAAGCTCTCCATCATTGTTTTTTTTTCATATTGGCGAGTGTCAAAAAAACAAGCTACTCGTTTTTCGATATTCAAACTTTAACCTCAAAAAAGCAGATTTTATGGTTGTATATCTACAGAATGTCTCCAAAACACATTTGATTAAATACGTTTTCTAAAACGAACTAAAGATATCATAAATGAGGATGCCGGAGCTGTGGATTCACATAAAACTTATATTTCTCCTTGTTTTTTTATATTGGCGAATCTCGAAAAACGAGCTACTCGTTTTTCGATATTCAAACTTGAATTTCAAAAAAGAAGATTTAATGGATGTACATCGACAGAATGTCTCCAAAACACATTTGATTAAATCAGTTTTGTAAAACGAACTAAAGATATCATTAATGAGGATGCCTGAGCAGTGGATTCACATGAAAATTACTCTTTCTACTTGTTTTTTGATATTGGCGAATCTCAAAAAAGCAGATAATGGAATTACATCTACAGAATATCTCCAAAACACATTTGATTAAATCAGTTTTGTAAAGCGAACTAAAGATATCATTAATAAGGATGCCTGAGCAGTGGATTCACATAAAAACTACTCCTTCTACTTGTTTTTTGATATTGGCGAATCTCGAAAATCGAGCTACTCGTTTTTCGATATTCAGGCAGAATACGCCCACATTTTCGAGAGATGGATAGAGAACAAGCTAAAAAGAAAGTGATTTTTCCTACAATCAAGGGCCATAATTCAGGAAATTACAATTCGATATGCGCAAATATTGAAAGGAACCGAAATCTTTGGGTTATAAACTTACATTTCAAGTTTCAACAAAATCAGATAACCAGCGGCTGCCAGGCAGAATACGCCCACATTTTCGAGAGATGGATAGAGAACAAGCTAAAAAGAAAGTGATTTTTCCTACAATCAAGGGCCATAATTCAGGAAATTACAATTCGATATGCGCAAATATTGAAAGGAACCGAAATCTTTGGGTTATAAACTTACATTTCAAGTTTCAACAAAATCAGATAACCAGCGGCTGCCAGGCAGGATACGCCCACATTTTCGAGAGATGGATAGAGAACAATCTAACAAGAAAGTGATTTTTCCTACAATCAAGGGCCATAATTCAGGAAATTACAATTCGATATGCGCATATATCGAAAGAAACTGAACGAACGACAGCCATTTTGTCTGTCAATTTTGGGCCGATTTTCACGAAATTCGAACTCAGTCATCCTCAGGGTGTAACGGTGATATAAAATACGTTTTTTTAAATCGGATAAAAATTATGACCTCTATAGGATCCACAAGCTAAAAACGCAATTTTTCGTACAATCAGGGGCCATAATTCAGAAAGTTACGGTCCGATATGTGCGAATATCGAAAGGAACCAAGATCTTTGGGTTATAAACTTACATTTCAAGTTTCAACAAAATCGGATAAAAATTGTGACCTCTATAGGGTCCACAACCTTGATATAACATATTCTTATGCTATTCCAGACCGAACGACGGCCATTTTGTCTGTCAATTTTGGGCCGATTTGCACGAAATTCAACCTCGGTCGTCCTTAGGGTGTAAGGGTGATATAATAATACGGTTTTTTAAATCGGATAAAAATTATGACCTCTATAGGGTCCACAAGCTAAAAACGCGATTTTTCATACAATCAGGGGCCATAATTCAGGAAATTACGGTCCAATATGCGCGAATATCGAAAGGAACCGAGATCTTTGGGTTATAGACTTATATTTCAAGTTTCAACAAAATCGGATAAAAATTGTGACCTGTATAGGATCCACAACCTTGATATAACATATTCTTATGCTATTCCAGACCGAACGGCGGCCATTTTGTCTGTCAATTTTGGGCCGATTTCCACGAAATTCAATCTCGGTCGTCCTTAGGGTGTAAGGGTGATATAATAATACGGTTTTTTAAATCGGATAAAAATTATGACCTCTATAGGGTCCACAAGCTAAAAACGCGATTTTTCATACAATCAGGGGCCATAATTCAAGAAATTACGGTCCAATATGCGCGAATATCGAAAGGAACCGAGATCTTTGGGTTATAGACTTATATTTCAAGTTTCAACAAAATCGGATAAAAATTGTGACCTGTATAGGA